AGCCCCTGCCTTGCTCTGCATTTGGAAAAGCTGCTGTACTCTTCTCGACTTCCCTTGGTGACTGTTCCATTTGTTGTTTTCCTTCTGCATGTCATTTGATGAGGCCTGTAGGGCTTGCCGGGTAGACAGGGCTTCACTGATTTTCTTAGCCTGCACTATGGCAGTGAAATGATAACTTTTCATATCTGAAACTATTAGCATCTCTTAGTCTAGCCAGCATGCCCCGGCTCCTGGATAACTGACAGTGGTGAGCATTATTGCTTCCCCTGTGCTAGGTTTCAGCACCCTTTAAATGCTTACTGATTTTCTAAAACACGTTCACATGGTTTCTCCATTTTACAAAGGATGAAACTGAGGCACAGAGAGATTAAATCCATTTGAAGAAGAGCACACATTTAGCTAAGCAGTAAAAGCGACATGTCTGATGAAAGCCACCCAGTTGTATGAGAGGAAAAGGCTTATAATTCCCATGTTTTGTTGACATCACTCAGGGTCACGGAATTACTGGTCTTGACCTATGCTTGTCTCATCTCTGACAAAATCATCTTGTTCAGGATACTTTGTGACTGTCTTTATTGACAGCTCTGGTTTGTGTGCAAAGCAGGCTCTAGATTCTATTTGGTAAAGCAGTATTTACTAAACCCGACTAGTTTCAAGTCCTATGGTCTCCATTATGTATCTGGATACATGGAATGGTGTTTGTTTGGTTTTTCATACCCTCATGTAGGAGTCTGATTATGTTGCTTAAGTGATTTTCTTTCTACAACCCAGTACTTTTTTTTTTTGTCACCCATACTATGCTAGTTACATGGATGTAAGGCAGATAACTCAAATGATTGCTTGGTGAACTACTAATAAAATATATTACCAAATCAACAGATGTGTTCTATACCATGTATTTGTTCTCATTACATCCATAATGGATCAATGTCCTACATCAGCCTGATCAATGGATGAGCCTACACAGGACTTTAATAGGATGTCACTTCCAGTTTTATGACTGTCCCTTTCTTGATGGAAGTGGTAGACTCAAAAGTTCACACGCTTGAGTGCTGTCCTCTTGTTGGACAGGGGTGTGTGGTGCTGGTGGCACATTGGAAAGATCAGAGGTCTGACCCCTCAGCACACGTGGTATGCAGCGAGTACTCTCACAGTCACTGGGAGCTGCAAGGGTGTCATCATCTTGCCTTCTGACCTTCATTTTTCTTACCTGTTAAATGGGGAGGTTAGGTTAAGGGATGCTTTCAAGTCAGTTTAAAAATCCTCCTGTGGTCTGAGGTGTGGACATGGCTTACGAGTCAGAGCACTTGCTGCACATACCTGAAGACTAAGACCTGAAGGCAGATCTCTTGGACCCTCTTCAAAGTTTGGCCATTGCTGTCCCTGGAACTGAAATCCCAGCACTGTGCAGGAGGCAGACAGGAGGCTTCATAGTGCTTGCTGGCCACAGGTCTAGTAGAAACATAACAAGCTTCAAGTTCCATGAGAGCCCTTGTTTCAGGGGAATATGGTGGAGTGCTGTTGAACAGGACACTGGGCATCTCGGGGTGCATGTATGGAACTGTGCACCTGTATACATGTATGTGCATAAACCACACACACACACACACACACACACACACTTCCCATAATTCATGAAAAATGAGTATCATGGCTAGCTCTATGGGCAATCTATAATATAAGTTTTGAACTCTGTGTCCCTTATTTTTGTGAGTCTTTGTGTGTTGTGTTCCAGGTGAGTTAGTTCCTTCCTGGCGTGCCTATCTTAAAGGACTTCCGTGGGGGATTCAGGGAGAGCCTGGGAACTTAAATGCTTTGGATAATAACTCAGTGAAAGACGTATTAAATAATAATGACGCTACTCCTGTGGAAAGTTAGCTGAAAGGTGTTGGGTTTCCCACCACCTCGCCATGCCACCCCTCCAAAAAAGAGCAAAGTTAAAAAGAGAGTTTGATCTTGGACTTTATGGAACTCTGCGGTGTCAATAGCGCCTTTGTCCTGCTGAGGGTCAGGTTCCCACAGTTGGGGTAGGGCAGCCATGCTCTTTCCCCTGACGTTTTATCAAACACACAGAATGTGGCAGTTCTTTAGACAAACATATGGTTTTCTGTTACAATCGCTTCCACTTTGTTAAAAGCCCTTTCAAATTGGAGATCTTCTGTGTGGGGCAGCAGACACTAGACACATGCATGTCCCCCAAGTTAACGGATGCCTTATATGTTTACTTGAGTAAATCATCTTCCAAGTTTGTGTGTCTTGCATCTGAGTCAATTTCTCACTGAGAGTATTTTTAACTCCTCCTTACTCCTTTGAGCTCCTTTTAGGAAGTGTGATCCAAAAGGGTCAGATACTTGGCCTGTAGGGGAAAACTTTGAGAGAATTCCTAAGGCCTAAGACTGGGATTGGCTTTCCCCAAAAGAACTGGCCCTTCACAGCGTCTTTGCCACATAAGGGCTTGTGTGAGGCCCCAGGCACCAGTTGACGGCTGTCTTACCCGTGACAGATGGTCAAGACTTCAATTTCAGCAAGTGATCCACTGCTGAGGGGGTAGGCAGGGGATTCTGCTAGCAGGCCAAGTGGCAGGGCAGCTTAGGGTAACAGCGATCCGGTGTGTGCCCAGCATAGCTTTAACAGCAATCCGGTGTGTGCCCAGCATAGCTTTAAAGGTGATCCAATGTGTGCCCGGCATAGGTTTTGTGCTAACAATGAGCTGCTGACAGGCGCCTGAGCCCTGCTCATCTTTGAGGCAGAAGATCCCTGGCTCCCTTGATGTTTTTCTCTCTGGCAAAGCCAGTGTCCTGTTTGCCTTGTCTTTCAAAACCTATTTTGGCACCAGATGGAACCCTTCACGGTGGCTAGCAGTTGTCTGAGTTCAGGATGCCAGAGGGTGTGCTGACAGCTTCTTCTAACACAACCTGAGTCTGGCTGTCAGACCTGGGCTCAAATGGCTTAAACACGTACAGGCGGCAAGTATTACCAACCACAGGGAGACAGGCGGGGGTTGGGGAGACTGGAGGGAGACTGGCAGTGAGATTCCTCCCCAGCTTGTTGTTGCCTTAGGTGGGAGATAATAATCTGTGGTTTCCCTAGTACATATTGCTATAGTTTGGACGTGAATCCCATACTGGGAACTTTTATAAAAGCTATGGCTTTTACACCTCACTGCACCATACAATCCCACACAAAATTTCATTGTCATTAGAATGGAGATCATCCCTCTCTGGACCCTGAGACAGTTTTCATATCTAAGTATTGAACCCAGTCCCTGCAATATGAGGAACTCATTACTGCTACCTATAGCATAGTTGATAATGTCTAAAAGCCACATGTACTGGTTGGGTCACCTTCCGAGGCTCAGAGGAACAGGACGGTATAAGTGCCTTGTTGAAAGAGGACTGATTGACTGAGTGGCTGGAAAGCTAAACATGCACAGTGGCAGAGCTGTTCTGGGCATGGAGGAGGCCCAGGGTGGATTCTGTTATACACAGCTGGACTTTAGCAGTGTTCTGTGAGTCATTCATCCTAGACAGGAGGTTGATAAGCTTTGGCCTCTGTGGAGAGGCCCTGGAAGTCGGGGTGAACCATTATCAGAGGCCTCCTCATTGATGGGCTTTGGGGGTTGTGTCATGTTAAATGACTTCATCTAAGAAGACTCTTACACTGTTGAATCTTATCATTTTTGTTTGAAAAAAGTCATTGTTTCTCTTCAAGTCTCCTACATATTCCCTGCCATTCTAAGAAAACAAGGAGAATAGTTATTGTTCTGAAATGTGTATGTAGAAGCTGTTTGAATGTAGTTGTCTTCATGCAGCGCCTTTATGGCAGGATCACGGGGGGCTACATTGATGACAGACATTGTACTCTAAATTAAATTCAGATGGACACATCATGGAATGCCAGTTTTGGATAAGTTACTGATATTGAGTTGACAGTTTTTATTCTGGTGTGGCCCTAAAGTGGGGCAAAGGCTAAAGACAAGGGTATTTCTAGAAGAATCTCATTGACCAGTATTTTAATGCATCCCATAGAGATATCTTGGCTCCAAAAAGTAGAAAAGTATGTAGAAAATAGATGGACATAAAAATCCTCTATGACTCCCAAATAGCAAACAGATGGAGGGGTTTAGCTAAGGGAGACCAATATGAATATCCTAGCACAAACTCTCCACGCCTACTTTCCAGTATGGGCTTGTATCACTGCAGTAGTTATTTAGTGGGACCAAGTTCTGTATCCCACACATCAGGGCATTTTCAACAATTAAAATACATTCACCAGTTTAAGTGGGATTCCTCTAACCAATTGGAGACTGTCATCATCTTTACAAAACAACAACAGCAGCAGCAACTACAACCAAGCAAAACCTGTGGCTCTCACTATAGAACTTACTGAGAAACTAAGGTGGATAGAGGGGCAGAGAGGTAAAAGCTCACTCACAGATAGCTTTTGTTTAAGACATATATCTGAGAAAACTGATGTAGCGGTACTGGAGATGTTGGAAGGGTTCAATCATTATGTCACTCCTTCTCCCCCTTCCAGGGCTGCTAATTTGAACATCTTATTTGGAGATGATAAGATTTAAAGTATTTACAATCTCCTTCTCTTTATCTGCTGTATACTTTGTCATTCATCACCTGTGAACTTATAACACTTAAATTGTTATGCTTGGGGACCATGGGAATTCTCAATTAGATCCATTTGGAACCCATGTTAAATTACGGTGAAGACCTGCTCCCAGAATAAAAACACTCCCTTGGGGGTAGGGTTTGCTTCTTTTGTGAGATCTGTTGGCAGTTCCAGAGTGTTCATTTCATAGAAAAAAATGCACCCTTGGATGCAATATCAAGACTTGTGCCTCAAATATAATATGGATTCTAGTACCACTCTGAGTTTTGCAGGAGATACAGGAAGAAAAGAGGATGTGTAACCCGGAAGTGATTTCTGACTCTGACTCCCTTGTTAGGATTGAAATGCTGACCATGATCTCCTTTGTTTCTTCACAGATTCTTCCTGAAGTTTTTCCTTAAATGCAACCAAAATTGCCTAAAGAATGCAGGAAACCCACGTGACATGCGGAGATTCCAGGTGAGTCCCTCTTGCTTTACTTATATCTTAATCATGACTTGAACGAGAAGAGATGAGGGGAAAACTTTTTTTTTGGCAGAAGCCATGGAGTATAATTGTTTCTCTAGAGGTGAAGAGCAGGTGAGGCCACTGGTCCCCAGGCATCTGCAATGTCGGAGTTGTTTTTGTTAGATAAAACTGGGGCTGTACCACCTGCGCCCACTGATGAAGGCAGTGGTGTCCTTAGGGCCTCATCTTGGCTTCGTGTATGGACTCCCATGATGAGACAGCTACAGATTAAGTCAATTACACAGAAACGATGGCTTTATTTGCTAAAATTTTCCTAAGTACAACTTTGCTGAGGAAGAGCACCAGGAAGTGACGCCAGGAAGCCTATTCTTTCTCTGTTCTCGAGCACGATCTCAGCAGCTGCTAGTACCAACTACAGGTTATAAGTGGACCCTTAAGAAGCAGAACATATCTATACCCTCTGTTCTGCTTTAGCAATGGTCTTGTACCCCACATGTACATTTTACTAAATATCCTCCAGATCTGCCACCGTTTAAAGCACACTAACCTGATAGAATATGCTAAAAGGCCGAAAACCTAAAACAAATGGAGTGACGTCTCAAACACGGGTGTTTAAAGAATGTTAGACATAATACTCCGGCAGCTTCACGTGTTGAGAATCTCTTAGGACCTTGTTAAAGTACTGATTGAGATGGGGGTAGGGTGGGGCTGGAATTTTATGTTTCTAACAAGCTCCCAGGTGATGTAGAACCAGGGAACAGATCACAAGTAGCAAAGTTGAGTCCCTACCCTGCACTGCTCTCCATCTCATTTTATGGGTAAGGTATTTGCCCTGTCAACGTTGATACGTGCTTGCACAACCTGTCAGAAAGACAGCTTGCTGTTGAAAGTTCGCTCCTACGCCTGTTTAGTCAGCTCAAAGTGCAGTTTTCAGTGTATGAGCTCCAAAAGGTGCTTGATAAATTTCAGCTCCAGGATTACTGAGGAGAAATAAGGAAAGAGATTCCGAGCATTGATTGTGGATGTCAATATCATAGTCTTCAAAATGTTTTTTTTTTTAAAAAGAAGTGAGACTTATTAGTCTCATTAAAGAATAAATCCAGTGGAGGGATGATATTGTCTCCTGAGATTTTAGAGAATTTCTATAAAATCATGTTAGCCTTACCACGTTCAGTCTTGATAGAGACAAATCTGGAGAATCCAATAAAGTTTTAGTTTCTTAGAAATGGTTTCCTGGCCAGCTCCTGCCTTCACATTGTGATGCTACTGTTTTCAACGTGTCTTTTTCAGCATATGCTATTTGGTAGCTTGCTGTGGTTTTCAGATGTATGTTTCTTTTGGTCAAGTTTGGGTTAGGAACAAAGATATACACGTGTGAAACAATTTGTGTATAATAATCATGTCTCATGACTTTGCCAGCATCTATACTGTATCCTTCAGGGCAGTAGAATTGGACGGACTTCAGTGATACTGGGGTGGGGGTGCTTGAAGAATATTTATGTATACTTTTCCAGAACCTGCTAGTGAGTGTGGATCTTGGAAACATAGCTCTGAGGCAAGACAGGAAGAGATTTCAGTATATTCTTTTTGAGCATATGAAAAAGGCTGCCATTTGCTTATAAGTTAGTGTATAAATGAAAGGTCAGCTTTTAGGGAAAATTCTAGAGATAATTTAGTCTAGGACTTCTCAACTTGGACACAGTGAATCTCTCTCTCTCTCTCTCTCTCTCTCTCTCTCTCTCTCTCTCTCTCTCTCTCTGTGTGTGTGTGTGTGTGTGTGTGTGTGTGTGTGTGTGTTCTGTGCTCTGTAGGATGATCACTTATATCACAGTCATGGAATAGCGATAGGTAATAGCCCATTTCCCTTCACATGACTAATGAAGAGTCTCTAGACATTATTAGATACTATTGGTAAGAAGAAGAGAGACAAAATGGTCCCTGATGGAAAGCTACTGGTTCTTCCCTACACTTGATGACCTTTGACTAAGTACATGGTGACAGCATTGGTGCTGTAGTAACTACATCCTTTGATTAGGAATAATTGCCTTCCTACCCAAGGTCTATACTGACCTTTAAATACACATGACTGATGTGAATCCTGGCAGCACTTTTGCCTTTTTGACCCCCAAAGAGATTCTAAATAGAAAGTGCTTTCTCTAAAGGAGTAGCTACCTTGGCCACCACAGACACAAACTCTGGGTTAAGAGAAATAGTCTTTATCAACGAGGACGAACTTCTTATTAGATCTCTGGTTCAACCTACTGTGTTTCCATCACTGACTCTGAGCAATGAGAACTCTGAGCTGAAGGTCTCTGAAACCTGGTTCATGGATTCAGTTTAGCTCTCCAGATGCTTGGTTGAACCTTAGGCCCATAACCCCCACATTGAACTCATGGTCCCCTCATTTATTTTTTTCTCTCCTCATCAAACTAGCTTCTCTGCCTTTTCTTCTCTGCTGTTGCCTATTTCTAGCTAACTTCATTAATTTCTGGTAGATGGCTATTTATACCAGTATCTGTATTTAGTTAATTCCATATTCATATGTGTACATGTTATGTCTGCCTTTACATACATCCATGGACATTTCCTGTTGTTGATGATGATAATGATGAAGAAGAAGATGAAGCTAACATTTACGGAGTGCTTATTTCATGAGAGGTATAACATTAAATGTTTTACATTGAGAGCATCCTTATTAAAACATGCTAATATGGATTATCCCCATTTCAGCAAGGAGAAAGTGAGCTTAGATCAGTAAAGGAGTTCTCTCAAAATTATACTACTGTCAAGAGGAAGTTCAAGTCACACATTGTGACTTGGATGTTATCTGATGCTTTGGGATAACAAAGAATTTATCCAGAGTCTGTTGAAAGCAACTTGGTGAGGCAACAAGGAGATCTGTGAACATCCAAGATCCATAGTGACACCCTAGGAAAAACTGATAGAATCACAAGATAGCTTAGAAAAGTCTTCGCAAAGAGACTTCATGCATGTGGTTGCAACCCAACCCAAGTTCATGAAACAGGTAGTCTACAGCCCTGAGTAGTTCTTATTTGTGGGGAAATTTGGAAATACAGCAATTATGTGAGCAAAACTCTCTCCACCCATGGCAATTTGGACCAAATTCTCTGGGACAAGAAAGCCCTCTTTTTACATTGCAATGGAATGAGGCCTCCCTCAGACATCCAGAGGATCTTGAATCTGAGGTCCTCAAATCTTAGGATCTCAGGATCCAAAAAAGGAAGGGGGTGTGTGTGTGTGTGAGTGTGTGTGCTTGTGTGTGCACTTGCACTCATGTTCTTGAGATTGACTGAATGTTCCTTACAAACAAAGGACATTTTTGTCTCTTGATTTCATAGCAGAGACATTGAGACTCTGGTTTCATGCACTTCTTATGTCCCTGTTGTCCATGAGAAGGACTGAAAAGAGTCTCTTTGGTGTGGACAACCCTGATCCATTCTTTGCATATAAGTAATACTGAAAGGCCAACTTCCAGAAAGTACTGATGGATGCACCCTTCATGGCCTAAGAGATGACATTTGTCAGCTGTCCTTGGTGTGGCTTCTCTTTTGTCTCTTTTGTATGTTTCCCTGGTCAACCCTATCTTCACACAGCCAAGCTACTTTATATCTCCTCAGAAGAGCAATCAGGGACCCATGTAGGTGACCCAGGAAGACATAAGAAAGATTGTTGATCTCCTGACCTGTGAAGACATTCTTAGGCTGACTTAGCCTCACAGTGGGCTGGGTTTCTGGCTTGTAAATAAAGACTTCTTAATTACACAGGTCGTGTCAATTAGTGTGATCTGAGTGTTCTCAAAAATTAATCACTTTCTGAAAAGCTTAGGGACTGCGGCATAAGCCATGAACAAAACCTGGTACAATCCTCTTTTATTTATTTATTTATTTATTTATTTATTTATTTATTTATAATAATGGATGTTTTCTTTTTGAAATCCCTAGGCTATGGTTAAGGTAGCATACTTCCTTAAATACAACAGTAGATACAGGCTTCATTTAGTTGTGGTGGGTGTGGGGGAAGGGCAACGGAATGAGAGGGGGAGCAAATTGGGGCTAGAAACAGCTCACAACACAGGGAGCATTTCAGTGTGACTATATGAGCCCATTTCTCTAGCTTGACAGTAAAAAGATGCTAATGTTAAGGGACCGTGTTAAAGCCATGTCACAGTCTGGCTTTTAACTGACAGGAGCCAGACAATTTGAGGTTCAGATTTAAATCCTGAGCCCCCTCTTTCCTTGTTGGGACTGGCAGATGAGAGCAGTGAAGGAGGAGGAGCAAGAATTGGGCTCAAGTTGTCACCATAGTAGAAACCACAAGATCCAGAGGAGACTGAAGTAAAATATAAATTTCCAAATTCATCTTCTCCCTTCAGCAAAGTTTTTTGATAGGCTATAACTCTGCATCTGTCTAAAAATGCTAGATCTATGACAACAGCATATATGAATACAGATGTAAGATAGATTCTCTCATTCATGCGTGCAAGCACTCAGCAGTATTTATTAGAGTGCTAGGTGGTAAGTCTGTAATGATGAATGCCGTAATGAAACTGATATTTTGGTTGGGGGTTATTTTAGGGCAAGAGTAGCTCCTGTAACATATAGATCAAATAATATATCCTGGCTCACATGTAGACCAAAGAATTTCTAATGGCTCACATATAATAGGTACATGCTTGTGTTCATGCTTTGAAGAATAGATTTTCCCCCTAATTTTTTAGAGTCTTCTTGGTTTTATGGAACCAGAAAAGGGGTGGGGGACACATAAAGATAGCTTACAATGTCTTTAGATTCTTGGCTTAGAAGTAGTCCTTGTCAAACCAACTTGTTTTCTATTGGCTAGTAGCCAGTCACAAAGCCAGTGTGAGAGGTCTGCCAATGGCTGATGATAAACCAGGGAGGAGAGAAAGGGAATATATAAGGGATGAGTTTCCATCAGCTGTCACAATGAAGATATGTAAAGATTAACAGTTG